TCTCTTTATTTCAGTCTCTCTCATGCTGTTGGCTTTCATCGGATGCCCTATGATAGTTTTTTCTTTCTGCCATTTATAGTCGATAATAAAAGCCTCCTTTTAGGAGTGAGGCCTTGAGTTCCTCCGGAATTGGTTGTCTGTTTGCCCCCAGAGACCCTACCGCTGCCTAGGAAGCTGCTGGAAGCTCTTGGTACAATCCTGAAGGGTGCATCCTACTCTAGGGCACCTGATTCTGAAGGTCCTTTAAAAGTTAAAATAAGGATACCCACTCTCTTACTCGAAGCCCTAGCTCACCCCAAGGCAGATCATTCCATTTATTCAAAGAGCCCTCCCGTCTGCCTGGGATTCTGCAGAGCTTGCTGACCCTCCATGTGCTGCGGCTGTGTTGTGGGCAGCTGGCCGGCACAAGGGCTTCAGTGGGTCCCCCGATTTTCAGTCCTCTTCCCAAATCCTCTTGATGCCCGCCGTCCCCAGTCCCAGAGCTTCCCTGGGCTTCCCACGTTTCCACGGGTGCTTTTCTGTCCCTGTGCTCTGGACTTCATCTTCTGTCATCCTGAACATCTTTTAGAAATTATTTGGAGTGAAATCTTTTGTTCTCTAATGATTCTAGCTGACAAGAGGGAAAGCCTGGTTTAAAGTTTAGAAGACATGGTACTTTTTTTTTTTTTAACATCAAACAATTGCATTAAGGGCTTCCCTGGTAGCTCAGTTGGTAAAGAATCCGTCTGCAATGGAGGAGACCCTGGTTCAATCCCTGGGTTGGGAAGATCTGCTGGGGAAGGGATAGGCTACCCACTCCAGTATTCTTGGACTTCCCTTGTAGCTCAGCTGGTAAAGAATCCACCTGTAATGTGGGAGTCCTGGGTTCAACCCCTGGGTTGGGAAGATCCCCTAGAGAAGGGAAAGGCTACCCACTCCAGTATTCTGGCCTGGAGAATTCCATGGACTGTATAGTCCATGGGGTTGCAAAGGGTTGGACAGGACTGAGTGACTTTCACGTACATACATAAGCCTGGACAATCTGGGATATGTGTGTGTGTTTAGAAAATATTTGTTGAGTTTCCTGTTCTGTACCAGTGAATGAAGGAGACATGTCATTGACCTTGTGGTGCCCACAGTACCTGTAACGTGTTAACAATAACCTGTGTTAGCAAGTTAGGAGAGAGAGGCAGAAGGAGCCTGGAAACATCGACGCGTGGGGGAGCCCATGTGGTTCAGAGGGAGACCTCCAGAAGGAAGTGACGTTTAATTAGATCTGATGGCTGAGTAGCAGTTAACCAAAACAAGAGGGTGGGGGAACCTCCCTCGTGGTCCAGTGGCTAAGACTCTGCTCTCAAAGCTGGGGGCCCAGGATTGATCCCTGGCCAGGGAACTAGATCCCACATACCGCAACTAACATTTCACATACCACAACTAAAGATCCCACTTGTTGCGAGGAAGATCAAAAATCCCGCATGCCACAGCTAAGACCTGGCGCAGCCGAAAATGAAGAGAATAAATAAGTATTAAAAAAAAAAAAAGAAAAAAAAACAAACAAACAAATGGGTGGGGTCAGTCAGATGCGTGATCAACAGTGCAGTGTCAGAGCGCACCTCAAACCAATAGAAGGTCTTCCTACTGTTAGAGCACCAGACTGCTCAGCCTCAGAAAACACCCCTGCCTTCTGGGGCCTGGCATTCCCCATCTTAAAAATGAGGAGACCACATGCTCTTTTCAGCTCTAAAAGTCAACATGTCTAAGATTGTTTAACTCAAGAGTTGGAGATTCCACCTCTCCCATAACTGCCCCCATCTGAAACCCATCTCTTGCTAGGGGGAAGCAGGTCTTTAGGAAGGCTGGAAAAGGTAGGGAGGGGCAGTGTGGTGTTCGCATATCTTTTGTGGAGTTAACCACCCCCGCCCCTGTTTTGAGTGATGGTGCAGTTCTTTCTGGGTCCGTGCCCCCAGGAGGTTAATAGGCTGTTCCTAGTGATAGAATGATGGGTCATCTTCCTTTTTTGTCTTTTTTCCTGATCTTTTCTACTTTCCTATTTTTATTTTCTTTTTTACAATAAGCAAATATGATTATAATTCGAAAGTAAACAAAATCTACTTTGATTCATTAAATCTCAGGCCATATGTTTCTCAATTATATTTGTCTGGAAAAAAGGGGAACTTACAGCTGTGTGGCATAGGGAATAAGTGCGTTTCAAAGGGCATGACAGCTGAAACTGGCCTTTGAGTGGGTGAAAAGTTAATTGTATTTTAACAACAGGTGTTTGGACTAGAGGGTAGGTGCCTGCGTGTGTGTTTAGTTACTTAACTCTTGTCCAACTCTGCGACTTCGTGGACTATAGCTTGCCCGGCTTCTTTGTCTATGGGGATTCTCCAGGCAAGAATACTGGAGTGGATTGCCTTTCCCTTCTCCCGGGGATCTTCTCGACCCAGGGAGCGAACCCATGCCTCCTGCACTGCGGGCGGATTCTTTACCATCTGAGCCACCTGGGAAGCCCAGAGGGTGGGTGGTTAGTGGTGGCCAGAATTTATTCATTCACATCCTCCTTTCAACAGACATCCATCGGTTACCATCTAAACAAGTTACTCAGGTGATCTGTGTCTGGAATTTTGTCTTGTGTCAAGTGGAGATAATATACCTGCCTTGTAGGATCCTTGTCAAGATTAAATGAGGCTATTTATGTAGAGCAGTTAGAATGTCATCTGATATATGACAAACATTCAGTACAAGTTTTTGTTATTTATGGATTTCCTTATTTTAATAAATGTCTTATAACATGTACAAAATGCTCATAAACTGGACAGAGCTTTTGCTTAAGAAGCTCAGATTCTACAGTAGAATAAGCTCTGTCCAGATATAAATATGCCTTGAAGGAGAAAAGGATAAGTCTCTTAAGAGAGAAACAGATCAAGTACTTAGAAAATTCAGGGAGAAATCCCTTCAGGGCCAGGGGTGAGGGGATGGGAATTAAAGGCAGCTTTGGGGCCAAGGGGCTTCTGGGCCCTGCAGGCCAGCCCTGGGCGCCGAAGCTGCCAGTTTCCTTTATCTTCAAATGGGGCCAGTCCTGCTGGCCGGGGAAGTCCGCCGAGTTCCTCCGGGCGAGCATTTAGAAGGCAGCAGCAGGAGGGGCTCAAGGAGACAGGTCTGGCCCAGGCAGCCCGGCTTGGAGCGCAGGCTCCATCTCTTACTCCGGGGGCCCTCTGGGCAGCCCGGCCAGTCCACCTCGGCGCGCATCGGTTTCCACAACTGTCGAGAGACCGTGGATAACCTTCCTGTCACTGATTCAGGTAAGGATGCCATGCAGCGGGGCTTTACAGCTCGGCGCGTGGCCCCGGTCCACGCAGCTTGTCCCCTGCCGTGGTCGGTAGAGAACAGGCTGGTGTGCCGATGTCCTCACAGTTCCCTCTCCTTGGCTTCTGTCACAAATGGACGGCTATTCGGTCCGCAGGGCTCATGTGACAGAATACGCGTTGTCAAGGAAAACGCTCTCTTTGTTTTTATGAATGAGCGCCTTCCTAGTATTTTTCGTTCAAGTGACAAGCCGTGCTTCAGCGCGCGAGGGTGATGTCAGTAGACTGACCTGTCAGGATCTGGCCCCACTTCCTGACGCCCACTCAGATGTCTGCAATAAAGGCCCAGCCGAGCACCACCCCGCCTCCGGGCCCTGCACACAGAGTGTATCTGCGAGAGCGTCAGAGGCTTTGTTCCTTACTCATCCTGACGTTCTAGACAAACACCAGCCCTCCTCTCTGGCTTCCCGACATTCTTGACCTTATTCATTGTCACGTCGTGCTCAGGGCAGAGGGTGGTGGCACTGAGTCAGACTGAGAAAATGATGTCTTTAGGATGTGCCAGCTGATTTTTACAAGTGTTTTTGAACTTGTACTATGTGCTATAAGTCACCCAAGAACGTTGAAGGGGGAAAGCTGTTATTATTCTCATTTTCCATTGGGAAGCCAAAGCCCAAAGAAGTTAACTGGCAGGGTCCTACTCAGGCAGAAGGTCCAGGGATGAGAAGGGAGCGGCCTCTCCCATCTGTGGACCGCCGCTGTCTGTGGGTGACCAGGCTGGCGTCCTCTGTATTCTCCCGCAGTCTCACACCAACCTGTGGGCAAGCCTGCGGAGCGGCACACTCCCTCCTAACACACACTGTGTTTGCTGGGACCTTTTCTGATTAACACCAGAGTTTTCTGAGCACTCATTAAAATTCTTGTTCAGTCACACACTGCCACAGCCTTCCTCCCACCTATAAATAGCTTCTTTCCCAACAGGGCCTAAGTCCCAAACGGCTTTAAGGCAAATCAGGTCTGCGTCTTTGAGGGGAGGAGCCCCTGAAGCCCAGATGTGCCTCAGGCCACACAGTATTTTGGTAGAAAAGCAGGTGAGCGCCCCTCTTACCTAGCTGCCCGAGTGTTTCCTGTCAGCCAACAGCCTGACGACCTTTCCCCGTCCCAGGCCTGGTTGAACCCAGGAAGACTCTCCCTCCCACTGCTTCCCCACTGGTTTGAAGAAGCTTCGCCTGTTTCCCGAAGTGGGGATGATCCCATTTAGAGCTGAGGGCCCGGCTCGGCGGAGTAACCGTTTTGGGAAGGAGCACTGGCTGTTGCGTGGCTTGTGTGCTGACCTCAGGAGGAGTTCAAAGACTCCGTTTCCAAGTCTGGTCCTCTCCTCTTCAGCCGTGTGCCCTCAGGCACATCTCGTAACTTCTCTCTGTTTCATTTTCCTATCCAGGAAAAGGAGATTAGCAATGACCTAATTCTCCTCAAGTGAGAGTCAAAGATTTTTTAAAATTTTTTTCTTTCGTTATTCCTGGCCGTGCTGGGTCTTCGTTGCTGTGCCTGGTTTTTCTCTAGCGACGACTGCTCTTTGTCGTGGTGCACAGGCTTCTTATTGCGGTGGCTTCTCTTGTGAAGCACGGGCCCTAGAGTGTAGCTTCAGTGGTTGTGGCACATGGGCTTAGTTGTCCCTAGACATATGGGATTTTCCCAGACCAGGGATCAAACCTGTGTTCCCTGTATCGGCGGGCAGATCTTAACCGCTGGATGCCCAGGGAAGTCCTCAAAGGAGAATCGTGTACAGCAAGTGAGAGCCACCATCTGTCATCACTCACGTGGCCAAATACCTTCAGGTCCCTTTCATTTATTATTTCGTTCTTAGTGTCCTCAAAATGGAGGCCCTCATATCCCATTTGGCAATTAAAAAAAGAAAGGTTCAGAGAAGTTAAGTCACATAGGAGTCAGAGCAGCTGCGTCCCTGGCTCCAAAATTGATGCTCATAATCACTATACATGTCACATTGCTTCCCACTGTACATCAAAGCACAGAGGCTTTATTTGTCTTTCTTATCAAGCACTCTTCAGACGCAGGAGATTACTTATTATCTCTCGTAACCAGGACTGTTCCACGTTAGTCCCTTAGGACAGTTAAATTCTCTTGCTGCTTTATCTTATCTCATAGTTTATGCTGCCTCTTTCCGTGTCCCCCAGGACTTGTTCAGTGAATTCTTGGGGGTTTTCTCCCAGAGAAACTGTTCAGCTCCACCAGAAAGGGGGTTGAAGGAGCCTGAGCTGAACCAGGCATCTTGAGCAGTAGCCTCTGACCCCTCCAGAGTTCCTCCCTCCCTCAAGCCTGTGGTCAGCCTCTTTGTAGTAAAGTTCCTTATGGTGAATTTGTTGATTAAGCTCATCCGTTACTGAATTCTAGAAGTGGAAGATACCAAAACTCTCATTTTATTGATGAGAAAACTGAGATCCAGAGAGAGAGGTGACGTGTGTGGGGTCATTTGTTCAGTTAGGAGCGTGTTGGGGACCAGAGCCCAGTTCCCAGGCAACAGCCCGGTGCCTGTTCTAAGCCTCCGGTGCGGACACGTTCCATCTGTCGAAGAAAAGGACAGACTCAAGCCTTCTGTCCAGCACGCACCTAGGAGACTTTCTGGAGAAATTCCACAGCTTGGAAAATGGAGCAGGAAGAAAAAAGATGGGGACGGTGGGGGTGGGGGTGTGCGGCTCCCCACCCTAACTAGCGTTATCATACACCCAAGAAGTGAACTGGACCACGGCACAGCACCCTAGATCAGCCCAGGGTCAGCAGTGTCTAAGGGGCAAAGGGATTCACGCCGGGAGCCGTGGCCCAGGGAGCGAATAGGAAGCCTTTTGTCACTGAGGCCGAAAATGGAAGGAAGGATGTTAGGCAAACGTGCCAGCCCGGGATGCAGTTACAGCCCCCGCGGCTCATTGTCCGGAGGAAACGGATCTCTCCTGTGGACAGAGAGGTGGAAACTGAACCAGGGAGCTGAGTGGTTGACATCATCAGGCTGAGCATTGGGTTACAACAAATGGGGACTTACTTGGCCCGGGACGTGGGAAACACCCACTAAAACCTCGAAGTGCATTTCATTTAGGAGAGAGCCCGCCTGCCCCCGCAGGCCTGCTGTGCTAGTCTTGCTTACCCTCCGAAGGGAGGCATCCTGAATGCTGGCTCCTTAAATTCGACCTTCCCTTCTGACCGAGGACTGCTGGACTTGGAAGGAACTCTCTGCTCTGGTAAGTAGGACTTTCTTCTCTGCCGCCCCCACCCCCAGGGAGAAGCAGGCTGGGAAGCAGGGCTCTCCGGAGAGTTTGCTTTCCAGCCCGTTGGTCACCAAGTGTCTATTTTTATATTATGATATATTATTGCTTTGAAAACCATGGCTTTGTCTGAAACCGCCTAGGGCTAGAGTCTGAACTTCAAGGCTCACAGACAGGGCTCCAGTCAAACACTGTCTTTGTTTCCCAAAGAACTTGGGCAGAGTCGCTCGGGCTTTAAAAGCAGCTCCTTGCCCCAAATATAGATGAGGAAAGAAATCCTCCCTTAGAAACTGGTGTTTGGGGAAGCTTTCCTTAATTTATTTTTCTGATGATCAAGGTGGGACCCCCAAATATCTTAAACACTTCTAGAGAGAAATGTCTCTGCCGATGAGAATTCTCCATAATCTGCCGCTCTCAGAGGTAACGGGGTATTTTCAGTTTAAGACTCAGAGACAGTTAGATTTCATGACTTCTCATCACTTCTGGCTAGTGCTGCAGGAACTGCCCAGGAAACTCCAAGACAGAAATCTTTACCTTTGGCTTTCTGATCTTTTAATTGCTTCCTTAAAAAAAAAAAAAAGTGCTGCTTATTCCTAGAAAATAAACACGACTGTGTAAGCGCTTGGGCATTTTCTCTGCTGGGTCCTGTCCTCGGATTTTAAACCGAGGGAGGCACTGGGGGGGTGGGGGGGGGTGGCCGTACCTGCGGGGGCTGAACCGAGGGTTCTTAGGTGGCTGAAGATATAAAGCTTGCAGGTGCTGTGTGTGCTCCACTCACCCTCCTCGCAGGTAAAAATGGTTGAAAGATCACAGTTAAAGAAGAAAGCCTCCAGCTTTAAAAAAGAAAAAAAAGCAAGAGCCACTATATAACAGAACGGCCACCCAAGGAAACTGTGGGGCCCTGGGCAGGTGCTTTATCCTCTGGACCTCAGTTCCATTGTTTGTACCTAAATGAGGGGCGAAACTAGATGAGCACTCCATCTGAACAACATGCCTTTAAACCGCGAGGGTCCGCTGTCCTGCGGATATTTTCCCATAAGTAACGCGCTACAGAACCAGGATCTGCAGTTGGTTGAATCCACGGACATAGGCCCAGGATGCTGCAGACATGTGGATACAGAGGGCCGACTGTAAAGTCACACCTGGGTTTTCAACTGCCCAGAGGATCGGTGCCCCTCAACCCTGTGCTGCTCAAGGGTCAGCTCTGTTCCTAAATTCAGCCTGAAAGAAACACCAAAGCCCTTTGCCCTTTGAGGAGAGTCCTTAGGGCTCGAGGAACAGAGGGCCCTTGGTCATCGGCATCCCGGAGCGGGTGAAAACTGGTGCCTCTAGGAGAACTAAAAGAGGACACCAAATAGGCACTGCGGTTCCTTGCTGAGTTTACATTTTGTCAGATTTTGTGCTCTGGAAGGAGAAATCCTCAGTGTGTGTGTGTGTATCGGGGAGCGAGGAGGAAAAAGAAACAACGGTAAATATTGAGCGCCTGGTGAGAGCCAGGCTCTGTGTACGCTCACCCTTTCACAGAACGCCAGGCAGTCGGTGTCAATATTCCCCAACTGCACCGACAGGGTCACTCTCCACTGTGTGTTCCCGTGTTCTCCTGACCTCCTTCCTGTGTTTACCCGAGCTGTGAGAGACCGAATCCTAACCTCTCGACCGTCAGGGAGTCGCACCTGAGCTGTGCTGGCGTGCCATCCCTTCACTGCTTCCGCTGGACCGCAGGCCTCATCTCCTCATTGCCTGATAGAGAACTTGGGATATAGGTACAGAGGAGACACATTATACTCGATTTCAACTTCAAGTCCGCTGTCCCACTCCCTAGCTTGGCCAGCGAGAGGGAGAAGAGGAGAGGGAAATCTCTGTTCGCCTCCCTCCCCTCTCCATTTCACCTCCCCGCAGTCCGCACCACTGTGGATAAACGGGGCGTGAGCGTGCCTGCTCAGTCGCTTCAGTCTGACTCTCTGCAACCTCGTGGACCGTAGCCCACCAGGCTCCTCTGTCCATGGGATCCTCCAGGCCAGGATGCTGCAGTGGGCATTGCAGGGAAAGGTTGGCCAGGGCCAAAGTACAAAGAAAAGCAAAAGAAGCTGTCGGGTCTTGGACTTTGGGTTTCCAAGGCTCCAGGTCTTGGTAGTTGAAGGGTTTTTCTTCTCTTTAAGAGCCTGTCAGAGACCCTAACCCTAGGGAGATGCAGTATTTAAGACTATTTGGATTAAGACCGTATTGCAGTCCATAGGGTTGCAAAGAGTTGGACACAACTGAGCAACTGAACTGACTGGATTAAGATCGTGGTGAACCTGAGGGCTCGTGAAGCCCCTTGGCAGATCTGAGAGCTGCAGCATATCTCCTCCCAGCAGCTGAGCCCTTTGAAAGTGGACCGTTGCTGCCAGGGCACCGCCCCGGGGTGTGGGCACCATCCCAACCTCACCCAGGACCTCGAGCCCCCAGGGCCCCGACACTTCAGCTGCTTAAAAAGTCCGTCCCTCTCCTAGGCTGGTGGTGAGGAGGAGGTGATACCGTGGAAGGAAGGTACCTGGTTTGAGTTTTATTTTTGTTGAATGTGAATGCTTGCCTGGTCTGTCTGGTGCTCTCTAGGCTCCTGCCTGGCGCTTGGCCCCTGTGGGCACTTGTATTTGTGGCCCCCGGGCTGACTGGTGTCCCCAGTGCCTGTCTGTCTTCTTAGACAGTCTAGGGTTCCATGAGAGGTTGAGCCATCTCGGAGAGATTCCTCCCCACCCCCCTTCTTTTCTCCAAAATGTGGGGTCACAATTTTACCTACCTCAGGGGGTGCCGGGGCTTCCCTGGTGGCTCAGCAGTGGAGAATTTGCCTGCAGTGCAGGAGATGGGGGTTTGATCCCTGGGTCCCCAGGGAAGATCCCCTGGAGAAGGGAATGGCTACCCACTCCAGTATTGTTGCCTAGAGAATCCCATGGACAGAGGCGCCTGGCGGGCTACAGTCCTCGGGGTCGCAGAGAGTCGGACACAACTGAAGCAACTTAGCAGGCAGGCAGGGGTGCCATGAGGACAAAGCAGCTTAAAGCTCACAACACGCTTAGTTGACTTAGTAATATGTGCTCAGGATTAGCTGCTTTATGGTTTCCAGAAAGAGAATGTTAGCTGACATCCTAGGATGTGAGCTGGCATCCCCTGGCCCCTCAGTCCCAGGATGGCATTTGTGTGAAGAGTTGGAAGTCATCTCTGAATTCCTCAATCTTCAAACACACACACACTTGCCAAGATGGGACACACACACATACACACACACCCCCCACACCCCCACCCCCCACCAAGATGGCCCTGGGGCCACCATGCTGGCTCTTTAACCCAAGCCCCAGCACCGTTTCCTGTCACCCACTGAAGTGCTGAGGCCAGAAGCTGAAGTGGGTGCTTTTTCCTGACACCAGAGGTCCCCGGTCCACCCAGCGACCAAAGGGAAAAGGTGGCAGGCATTCCTTTCTGAGTGTAACGGGCAGCTGAGCTCCCCCAGTCTACTCCGCCAGGCTTTCATAAGCAGCCAGGAGTGATTCCTAAGTGGAGACAGACATGGAAAGTCTAAGGTTCTCGGAAACAAGTCATCAATCAGGACCCAAGGTTGAGCTCACTACCTCCTGGAAATCTTTCAGAAACACCTCATGAAAACTTTTAAGTACTGCTCCTTCAAAGAATGGTTTCTTTGGGAGTTGCACTCAGCTGCCGCGCTAAGTGATTCTGAATTGCCGATGATAATAAACGCATCCGCTCTGACCGGAGGAGGCCAGCATCTCCTAACTGTAAAAGTAGTCTCTCATCTTCCAAGAAATTGCTGTCCTTCAACTTGGCTCTTCCGAACTGAATAATGGACCTTCAGGGCACTCAAATAATGAAGCATTTGGTTGCTAATGCATTCTTACTATGTCCCAGGGACCTGGGTCTGTTATTTTGTTTAGTACTGTATGGCTGTGGGCCCTGCCAGTCAGGGAACCGTGCTGAGGGCTAGTGGGCCCTGAGCACGAGGCTCGAGGAACTGGCTGATGCGGAGACAGTCTGGTGCAGTTCTCAGAGCATCGTGAGGACAGGCAGATGAGTGAATAATTATGGCGGATCAGCAGCAGGTGGAGGAGGTCCTGTCCTGAGCTGGGTTGATTACCCCCACGCTCCCCTCCACTTCTGACGCCCAGAGCTGTGCCAGCACTTGCCTTAAGGAGAAATGAGAGCTGCTCCTGGTGAAGCCTTCACCCCCAGCACCTTCCTATCCCCCAGGGTTTCGGAGGATAGAAAGGAACTCATCACGAAAATGCAATGGCCCCAACTTAGAGGACACGGAATCCTTGGGATGGGTGATTCTGTTGTCTAAATCACCACTAGGCTTTCTGTTGGTTTGTTTTTACAACATTTATTGTAGCTTTTTTTTTTTTTTCCGGATTACAAAGTTAGAACACCTTCATGGATAAGCTAGATCCAGTGGCTCAGCCGGTAAAGAATCTGCCTGCAATGTAGGAGACTGCCTACAATGCAGGAGACATGGGTTCAATCCTTGGGTTGTGAAGATCCCCTGGAGAAGGAAATGGCAACCCACTCTGTTGTCCTTGCCTGGGAAATCCCATGCACAGAGGAGCCCGGCAGGTACAGTCCATGGGGTTGCAAGAGTGGGACACAACTTTGCGACTAAACCACCCCCATGGAAAGGAAAGGCTAGACAGTACAGAAAAACATACTGAAATCATCACCCAGTGATTTCCATTCTCTGTTTTAAATAAGGCATGGTGAGGTCAAAGAGCATGACTCTTTTAGGTCTCTGATCCGCATTTGCAGTTAGCCACCGGGAAGTTTTCACCTGTGTGAGTTCCCATTCGCAATCCATGGTTTTGCCCCCATCCCCTTCTCAGGCGCACACCCACTGCATCGGGAGTTGAGCTCATTTTACCCTCTCCCCGGGCAGAGTCCCTGTTTGTGTATCTCAGAGGTACTGAGGTTCTGTGTTGCTCTCCCCTTGGGTGGGGGGAGAAACCAGGTCTGCGTCGGTTAAGGACCCAGCTTTCCTTGGTATTTTCCTGTATGGATGTGTGAATGCATCCATCATTAAGAACCCTTGTGTTTTCAGCATTAGGGGCAAGGTGCTGTTGGCAATACCAGGGTAAGTGAGACTTGTAAGTAGCTCCCAACCTGATAGGAAGAAAAACTCTTAACATGTGTGATCACATGCCCCAAGAGAGGGCTAGTGCTATGGAAGCCTGACAGAGCAGCATTTAAGCCGAGCGTTCGATTCATTTCAGGAAGTCTTTCACGTATCCAGCCAGTATTTATTGAGCACCTAATATCCGCTAGGCACTGGGCGAGTTGGTAGTTGGAGAGCACTGCACAGAACAGCCATGACCCCTCCTCACCTGTAGCGTCCAGGACTGATAGTGGTGTTGTGAAATACCCAGGACGAGTGAGGGGTACGGAGGAGTGTGTGGTCAGGGCAGGTCTGCCACACAAGCAGTGTTTGAACCCAGAGGAGGAGTCGGTTATGCTGAGAGCTAAGGCGGGAGCAGGGGGCTGGGGCACAAGGCAGCTGCGTTGTGGGAAAGACTGTTCCAGGTAGAGAGGGGAACACCGGTGAAAGGCCGGAGGCAGGAATGTTGGGGAAACTGAAAGGAGGCCGGTGGGGCTAAAGCCTAGAGGGGAAGGCAAGAGAGAAGATGGAGGCAACGAGGACAGGACACAGGAAGGATTTTCCTTCTCTTCTTCAGCAGCTGGATTCCAGTATATGAGCAAAATTTATTCCCGAGGTGGCATAGAATTGTCCTCTTGGTCTATAACTTTTTCATAAGGGGCAGGAAAAATCTGGTATTCCCAAGAGCCAGTGTTTTCATTCATTGGCTTGCCTGTTAGTTCCGTTTCTCTCTGATTTCAAATGTGAGCTCCCTACTGGACTTGGGTTTAGAGAACAGAGTTTGTGTTGCCATTCTATCACCAACTTGCTGTGTGACCTTAAAAGATCCTTAACTTCTCTGGGCCTCATTTGCATCTCCAAAGGAGAATGGTGCTGATCTGATCCCAGGTCATTGTGAAGATCGAAAAAGATAAAGTATTTTAAAGTGCTTTGTAAAATACGAAGTCTTATAGACACCTGCGGTATCATTTTTATTTCAGTGAAAGATTTCTTATTAATGAAATGAAATAAAATTAAGCTAAAAACAAAGCAGGCACCAGGAAAAGGCAGACTGGACCCCTTCCAGGTAACCCAGAAACGGCAGAGTCCACCTAGGGGGCTCGCCTTCCAGAGCTGCTTGTGAGTGCTGTTCCTCTTTCCTCTTTCACTTCATCCATTGGAATAAACCATCTCCTTCCTTTCTGCTTCCGTCAGAATGGGTTACAGAACAATCCATTTCACTTCTCTGATTCCAGGACCCATTTGATATCGAAGCCAGAGAATCTGCTTGGAGGCCAAGAGAGCCTTGTGAGCAGAGCTGCTGCGGTTTACTGGGCCTTGGTTCCCGGCAGACGCAGGCGCCTGGGAGTGCATTTATTTGGGTTTGGGGGGGGGAAGGTAATTGGGGGCAAGGAGCCACAGAAAACAGTCAATGGTACGGAACCAGCCACACACCACCTGAGCAGGGCAGTGGATTTTTAAAGGGGAGCTTTTTTTTTTTAAGTAAAATAAAACACATAAATGCTTAGGGGAAAAGTGCACCTTTTCCCCATCTCATGAAGCTTTTAAAAATGTCTTCCAGGGGATTCCCCTGCTGTCCAGTGGTAAAAACTGGGCGCTTCCAATGCCCAGGGTGCGGGTTTGATCCTTGATCAAGGAACTAAGAGACAACATGCCTCAGAGCCTGGCCAAAAAAAAATGTTTTTTAGATAAATTGTCTTCCAGCTGTTAAAATGATAGGTTCTATTTGACCAAAAAAAAAGTGAGAGGAAGTACAGTTAACTATGCCATGTAAAGATGAACGGTGGTGTGTGACATAGTTTGCTGTGCTGTATGGCTCTGCACTCGTGTGTTTATTTCTTTGTTGTTGTTTTTGCTTTCTCCATTGATTTCCCCTGGAGATGCATGTGCTCATTGTAACTAACTGAACAATTTGAAGATGTATACAGAGAAAGTTTATAATATCTCCTCTCCTCCTGCTCCCCATTTCCATCCTTCTCAGATACCCAGGGTAGTTAGTTTGGTGTATATCCTTCCATACCTTTCTCCGAGCTCCTGTGTAGATGGATGTTTTGTGTATGTATGTGGTTATTGTGTTTTGTCAGAAGTGGGATTGTACTTTGTTATTTTACAGTTTATTTTTCCCACTAAATGATACTTCCTGGGTAGGTACCAATCCAGTTCACGCTTAAATGACTTCAGGGCTATAGACCTAGAGGTACCACAATATATTCAACCAGGTCTCCTTTGGCAGATACTTGAGTTACTACCATTTTTTCTTATTAAAAATCTTGTTCCATTAAATATCTTCATGTACATATCTTTCTTCACTGTTGCTTTTACTTTTATAGATTATATTTTCAAAAATAGTATTGCTGGGTTAAAAGGTATTCATACTTGATATCTTGATTGATAATATCATCCTACTTTACAAAGAGTTCTAATAGTTTACGTTCTCCCCAGCCATATGTGAGCACTTCCATTTCCCTAAATCTTTACCAGCATTAGGAACTCTCTCTTCTGTCCATCTCTCCCTTCATCTCTCTTGTTTTATTTGTGACCAAGCTGATGGGGAAATGGCATCTTACTTTCGTATATTCTTTAGTGAGATTGTGATTGTTGCATGTTAAGTGATCTTTTCATTTTCCTCATCTGTGAATTTCCTTTTCCCATTTTCCTATGAGTTGTTTGCCTTTTCTCAAGCACATGTAGGAGCTCTTAATGTGTTTATGTATTAAAGATCTCATATGTGTTGTAAATATTTTTCCTAATCTGTTATTTATTAATTTGTTTCTGTATTGCTCTTCATAGTACCTGAATTTCTTGCCTTGTTTAGGAATAATTTCCCCACCTCAAAGTTACATAAATATTTTAATAAATGTTTTTCTAATACTTAATATGGCTTTCATTAATTTAATCCTGAACCTTTAATCCCTTTGGAATTTATGTTTGTGCATAGTGAGGAGTAATGATCAAGCTTTGTTCTAGATAGGCCAGCAGCATTTATTAAATACGCCATCTTTTCTGTTTTGTATTGAAACCCATCTTTGTCATTAATAAGTTCCTTTATGGTATGTTTCTGAACTTGGTATTCTAGCCCACAACTTATTTGTCTATTCTTCTGTTAATTCTGTATCTTTTTATTATTATGTCTTTATAGTAACTTTTTAAAATTTTAAGACAAATCCTCTGTTTACCTTTTATAATTTTCTTTAGTCCTTGGCTAATTTTCTGAATACTTACTTTGGTCACCTCATGTGAAGAGGTGACTCATTGGAAAAGACCCTCATGCTGGGAAGGATTGGGTGCAGGAGGAGAAGGGGACAACAGAGGATGAGATGGCTGGATGGCATCACCGGCTCAATGCACATGGGTTTGGGTAGACTTCGGGAGTTGGTGATGGACAGGGAGGCCTGGCGTGCTGCGATTCATGGGGTCGCAAAGAGTTGGACATGACTGAGCAACTGAACTGAACTGAACTGATTCCATATGAACTCTAATTTTTTTCATTCCCCCATCCAAGAAACCTATTGGTATTCTTATTGGAATTTAATTAAGATTATATAGTAACTTGGTAAGGATGGCATTTGGGGATAACTAGACTTTTCTACCCAGGAGCATACTAACTGGTTTGAACTCATGCATTCTATTTCTGTATTTTGTTGTTTTTAAACTTTCAGTATACATCATGGATGAGTTATCTAGAATAAAATAGCATTTCTTTGTCCTGAATAATCAAGGACCTTAGAATATTTATCTCTGATTTTGGTTCCATCTTACGTGTTATCATTGTCAAATACTGTCAAGTTTGTTTTTATCTCCTTGTTTAGCTTTGTTTCACTCAGTCGGTACTTGTTTAAATGTAACCATATTCTTACTACTTTTGCTCACTGTTGATCCTAAAATCACACTGATACTCTGTGTTCATTTTCTCTTCTGTTGGAGAATGTTTTGGAGTCTGTCAATGGTAAACTTGCTTAGTCTTTGTCCAAAAATATCTTTTGCCCTTACTCTTGATACTTTAGCATTTAAATAGCATGTATAATGACTATGAAAGATGTGTGTGCCTCTAATGAAAGTTTTCAGCTGCAACAGAAACAGTTCCTTGAAAATTGAAAGCCTTTCATTCCTCTCCCCTCAGTTTCTGAGTCCCAGGGGGAGCTGCTGTTTTTGGTTTGCTGTTTGCCTTTTTCTAATATAGATACAAAAAGTGTGTATATACACAAATGCTATACATTTTTTCTAAGGATAAACAATCATGTTTATTTTTAACTAAACAGACGATAGTATATACAGTTTTACACTTTTTTAAACACCAGAGTATGTACATTTTCCCACGTCAGTACAACAGACTCTCCCCTGTTCTTTGTAATGGCTGTGTAGTCCTTCCCTGCATTGATATCATAATTTAACTCTTTTTCCTAGTAACTTAAGTTGTTTCCTCTTTTTTTTTTTTTTTTTACTTTTACACAATATGTTTTACTGAACATTTTTTTTAAACTTATGTGAACCAATTTATAGGATAAATTTTCAGATGTTTGAGTGAGCCAAAGGATGTACACAGTTAATAGATTGATGGATGTTGTTAACTTGTATTCGTAAAAGATTGCTTCAGTTTACAGCCCTAGGGGATGTCTGGCTCTAATTTTTGTTTTTCTTCTGGTTCCTTAGAATTTCCACATTGATTCGTCAACAGTGGAAAATCTGAAGAGATGCGAGCAGGAAAAAGAAACTAAACCAGGTGGGTAGTCACATTGTTCATACCACTCTGCTGTGGCATCACGAGTGTTTGCCTGAATACTTTTACTTCCGTTTGAAGAAGGAAAAGGAATCGGTTCCAAATGAAATCAGAGAGGACTCGGTGTCCCATGAGGGAAAGGCAGGATGGCCCTTTTCAGAAGTTACGTAAAATCGCGCTGCAGTTTCAGTCATGATTCCATTTACACCGTTTCTCTGATGCTTAGAGAATCAGAAAGACAATTTACCTCAGTGGCTTACAAGAGAATGGGTTTCTTCAACCATCTACTTAAGCAGATGGAATCATACACAGGAGTTATTAGCAAATCTGGGTGCGATGCCAACTTCCCCATCCACCAATTGTTTGTTGTAAAAGTATTTTCATAAAGACCAGGGCACATGATGGGTATTTTAATACTGTGGTGCAGAAGCAAAAGCAGGCAAAACGAAGCCCAAAGAAACAAGTACAGCCCAGTGATCTGATGAGGAGAGATGGTGCGGGTCCCTTCCAGCTGGAAGAAGAATGCAGTTCATAGATCCTCTGCCTGGAAGTATGGCTGCCTTGGGTCAGTGTTTGTATCTATATGGTATCTAAACATTTTTTGACAGCCTCTGATCTGTGGTCCAACCACCTTCCTTGCCCCCAACTTTTCTACCCCTTTCCAACTCCATCTTCTTGCATTTGGGCAGAATCTCCATTTTTTATTTCACTGTCCAAGTCCTAGTAGTCCTGGGAGTTTGGGGGATTTCTAACTCCTTCGATTTCCCTCTCATGGCCCCGCCTGCCTCTAGCACCACTCCTAAGATTCCTCTTCTGTTGGCAGAGAAAGGATTTTATCTGGCAGGCAGCTGCCCTGGGTCTGAAACTCCCCAGCTGCTTATCAGCAAGGCATTTGAGCCTTGCCCTGTAGCAGCTTCCCAAGCCACCAGGCTTGTGTCCTGTTCTGACTCAATGACGCCGGGAAGCCCCTGGATGCAGATGTTTGCAGTGACTTGGATGCGGCAGTCAGCTCCCAGGACTGTTTATCTGGCCAAGGTCAGAGGGCCTTCTGTTCCAGTTGCTGTGGGAGCACTGGGACCTAGCCACTGAACCTTGAGGATGCTAGGGTTATGTGAGGTTTAGAGCCAAGGTATTTAAACAGGCTTCTTCTGGGATTCAAGATTTTCCTGTAAACATGGGTGCAGTTTTGTATGTATACACACACATACTCTCCTAGGCTAAATATCTATAGCTTTCCTCAGATTCTCAGATGTGTCTGTGACCTCTGAATGTTAAGAATCAGTGGTCTAGAGAGGGGCTTCCCTGGTGGCTCAGTGGTAAAGAATCCACCTGTTCATGCAGGAGACATGGGTTCAATCCCTGATTTGGGAAGATCCCCTGGAGAAGGAAGTGGCAATCCACTCCAGTATTCTTGCCCGGGAAATCCACGGACAGAGGGACCTGGCGGGCTCCCATGCCTGGGGTTGCAAAGAGTCTGATACGACTTAGCGACTGAGCACGCACACATGGTCACAAGAGAGCCCCAAGTGTTTCGGGGTCCCGGGTCTCCTTAGGCACCAGCCTTCCTTATGCCTGGATATCTTGGTTTTTCTGTTTAGGGGTGAACTGGGACAAACTAGCTAATATCGCTGGAGCTTAAAGCCATCTGATGGCACGTCCCAAAGTCTAATCACAAAATTGCGCCCCAGCCCCTGTTCCATCTCACTGAGCACACTTTGGGGGTTTTCTGGTTTCTGAGTCTATGGCTCAGGGGGGCGTTACAGCAGCTACACTGACAGCAGTGGGAACAGTGCTGTTTCTGTATGCTCAGGCATGTCCAACTCTTTGCGGCCCCGTGGACTGGAGCCCGCCAGGCTCTTCTGTCCATGGGATTTTCCAGGCAAGAATACTGGAATGGGTTGCTATTTCCTCCTCCAGGGGAACTTCCCAACCCAGGGATCGAACCCAAGTCTCCTGCATCTCCTTCCTGAGCCACAAGGCTTGTGTCCTGTTCTGGCTCAGTGCCACTGGGAAGCCCCTGGACGCAGATGAATCTGCAGGCAAGTTCTTTACTGCTGAGGCACCTGGGAAGCCAGCCAGTGGGAACAGTGTTGATGGATAGCTGAATTTCAGTCTGGCTTACCACCACCAGGAACAGCATCCAGTGCTTTGTACACCTTATCTTATTTGATCATCACAACTTCCCATGTAGGTTGAAGCTCTTATTTTATGTGTGGAGAAACTGAAGTACAGAAAAATCTTTTAATTCACCAGAGGTCACACAGTCAGTAAGTGGTACATGACCCAAGTACATGAGCTTAACCACCACGCTTTATGGTGAAAGTAAATTCACCGATTTTAGAAAAAAACAGTGCGCTCTGCAGTGTAGGTCAAACCACTCTGTATCTTGTAATACTGAGAAGATTGCCACGTTATACAAGATATTAAAAACTATGCACACAGCACTGATCTTAAATCATTAAGAAAAGGTTAGTGGGTAATATGCTAATGCATTAGTGCAGTGCCTGAGAAGAGTCTCTCTCCATTTTAATTCAGATACGGGTTTCTTTTTTTTTTGGTACAACTTTACTGAGATATAATTCATATGCCACACAGTTCACCCATTTAAAGTATATACAATTCATTGGCCTACAGTATATTTCAGAGTTGCATATCTGTCACCATGATCATTTTAGAACCTTATCATTCCCTCTAGAAGAAACCCCACATCCTGAACTCATCACCCTCCCAAGCCCCCCAGCCTCCCCAGTCCCAGGCAACCACCAGTCTGCTTTCTGTCTCCACAGAAGGTTCTGATGCTTAAAAGAGTAACAGTGTGGGAATCTTGGTGATCTGGAGTGAGTCATTCCCTGAGGAATAATTAGACAAATGAAATTTGACTCTAATGTATTTTATAAATGGTTTTATTAGCTAAAGAAGCTACGAGCCTATCTTTGATATGCCCAAATTTAGGACTGACAAGAGACAAGTTTCTCTGAGTCATTTCCACTTCTCAGCATCACCTGTCGAGTGGGCTTTTCTCAGCGAGCAGCTGTAAGACAATGACAGTCTCCAGTGGCGTCAGAACCAGCGGCGGTTTGGCCATGGGATCTCTTTCCTGTCGCTGGAGTCCCCGGCTCACTTTCTCTCTCTGCCTGACTCTAGCTGTTGAAATGAAGGGGCCCTCCGCTTGTTGCCCATCACTCTGAGATTCAGGGCAGGACCTCGTCAGATGCTTGGAGGTTGCGTGCGTTCCACCACATGCTCTCTTGGACTCTTTCAGGTTGGCAGATCCACTGTGTCTCTCCTGCCTCCCTCATTCCTTCTGAAAGCATTTCCTGGGTGCCGTGCTGCGGGCATGGTGTGGGCGCTCGGTCAGTCCCTCCACACACTCCTCATCCCGGTCAGTACAGCGCCTGGCCTTCCTGGATCCAGGGGGCTGGGGTCATTTGCGCTGAGACCAGCCAGAGGGGCAGGAAGTTTGGTGACAGAACAGTCCTCTGTTAAGGATGAGGCAGATGCTGTGTCCGCCCCCTCGAGACAGAGCCGTCCCCGGAATGCACCATCCTAGAGAAGGCGCTCGGAATCGGGGTGGAGGAAACCCAGGTTCAAGGCCTGATTCGGTCAGTAACTGGTCGGAGGACCTCAGGGGACTCATAACAACTTCTCCAAGCCACGAGCTGTCCATTGTGAGGGTTCAGTAACACAAGGCCTCCCAAGGTGTCTTCAGTCCCAGTGCTGGGAAGAGTGCGTGCTCTGTAGGTGTTGAAGGGGTCCCTGAAGGAGAGAAGGAACATCCTGTGATTCTCAGAGCTGGAGCAGAGCCCTTGCAGGTCAGGTGACAAGGTGGAAAGAAGGTCTCAAGGAAGACCAAGGGGAACCTCCTTCTCCTTCTCCAGGAACCTCAGTCCTTCCTGCCGTTTCAGCCCCTTTCAGCTCACCTGTCCTCAACTCTGGCGTGCTCTGCTTCCCCAAGCCAAAGGGAGCCACCACCTTTGAGGCCTTGGGCCTAGGAGCCAGGCACCTGGGCGTGTAGGGCGGGGTGGGTTCCCATACATCCTTGCTGTGTGTTAAAGGGACCTACCTAATTGTACAGGGCTACCGAGAAGCACTTCTTAACCATACCCGACGCATAGCACATATACCCTGTAAATAGTACCATTTTTAGTTTATTATTCCCTTTGTTATTTGTTTGGTCAGGGACCAGGGCTGGGGTGGTTGTTTTCATCACTGGCTTGAGAGTGCACATGTTCATTGCTTATTTTGTATGTTCACTGCTTATTTTGTTTGTTCATTAGCGCGTTCTTATGGATGCATTTACTGAGCATCTTCCATGCATCACACACTGTACTATGTGGCAGGGATAGTGACCAGAAGGACTGCCTGTCCTCCTGAAGCCAGTGGGGAAGGCAGATATGGGACAGGTGGGCACATATGGGCGGATATGGGACAGCTGGGACAGCAAAGCAGGAAGCTCTTATCTTCTGCTGGGTCAGGGAGGGATCACTGGGCCCTGGGGGCTGGTCATCCCCTGAAGACCCTGTGCCTGGAGGTAGGGGGCTGAGGGCTGGGGTATTGAACCGAGGGACTGGAATCGTGTGCAGACTCTGGGTCAAAGGCACAGGAGAACATGATGTTGCTGAGTCACTGTTGTGTCTGACTCTGTGCAGCCCCATGGACTGCTGCATGCCAGGCTTCCCTGTCCGGAGCTTGCTCAAACTCATGTCCATCGAGTCAGTGATGCCATCCAACCATCTCATCCTCTGTGGCCCCCTTCTCCTCCTGCCCTCAATCTTGCCCAGCATCAGGGTCTTTTCCTGTGTCTCTGCTCAGGTCATTGGAGAAGGAAATGGCAACCCACTCCAGTGTTCTTGCCTGGAGAATCCCAGGGATGGGGGAGCCTGGCGGGCTGCCGTCTGTGGGGTCACACAGAGTCGGACACGACTGAAGTGACTTAGCGGCAGCAGCTGTTCAGGTCGGACGGTCCCTGGCTTGGAGACATGTGATTCTGCCAGGTCCTCTTGCCTCGGTCCTCTCCTGTGTTATGCTGTGTGGATTCCGAGCTCTGCTTCTCTCCAGAGGCAGGAGGAATGGAATGAGAACCTTGTCTCTCCTTTAGCTGAAGACCAGAGGCCCCCCGCCACCCCAGCTGGCCCTGCTTTTGGGTCAATAGTGTCTGTGCCTGTGAGGGATGTGTGATGAGACGCCCTCAGGCCTAACTCCCCGTCCACTCGGGGCGGGGGGGTGCGGGGAGGGGACTCTGAGAACTGGCATGGAAGGGAGCATTAAAGCATTCGTCTGGGAATGGCCCTGAAAGGGTGAAGTCAAAATCGGAGCAAAACTCCGGGTCAGCTCTTATCCTCCAAGGCCCTGGAAGGCCCCAGCCACCCTGAGCCTTCTCTCTCCCTCACTCGCTGCGCACCAGCCCCGCGGCCTCCTTGTCCTCTTGCTGGACACCAGGGGGGCCCCGCCTCTTGCACGCTGTTCCCTCTGCCTGGCACACTTACCTGGGTATCCCCCCCAGGGCTCTGCACCCAGGTCCCTCTCCCAGAGGGGCTCCCTGGATACTCTGAGAGAACCCCCCACCCCTTGCCCTCTTGCAGTTTTCTCTGAGGCACTGGTTCCCCTGATGGTTGTTCTGTTTGCTCGTGAGTCACTCCAACAGAGCGTGAGCTTCCTGAGGGCAGAGACTGTTCTAGTCCTTGCTGACTCCTGGGTGCCCAGTGAGCAGTAAATATAAAGGAGTGGAGGGGGTTGTTTCTTTAAAGTTAGTGACTGTGTGTAAGTGGCTGGTTTCTGAGCCCATTCTGCCTTGTACATCTTATTGTTACAGCTTCTAGCAACCAAGCTTTTCAAAGATTCTTAAAGTTTTAAGAGATTCCTGTACAGAATCAGTCCCTAAAGTCTCTCCTCTCTCATCATTTGTGTGGGCCATGACACCTTCCATCAGGAACAGAGGCTGATATGGGCAGTGGTCATCAGCGACAACACGCACACCGCATCCGCCTCTGGATCATTGTCAGATTCCCCAGGGGAGGCAGAAGGGATAGTTTGAAGCTGTGGTTCACCAGTGATTTTGGAATTCTGGTATGTGCGCCCCTGCCCCTCATCCCTGGTTAAGAATTTCGGGTGTTTGAGTCAACCTCCCTAAGTAAACCTTGACTGTCCCTCCAGGGCCCCTGGTGTCTCACTGCTTTTGTATCTGTGGCACCTGGTCCCAAGCCTGGTACACACTGAGTGATCAGTAATATTTCGTTACATGAATAGATGAATGAATTCATATTATAGAGATAGTATCTTGCTTCTTTTCATTCTCCACTGTGGTTTTGGGGCATGTTTTCTGTAGATTTTTAGAGGTACTCTAGAGGAATCCCTAGCTGGAAGTCACATTAGAACTCTCCCTGTTTATCCACTGCCACATAACACTCCACTGCCAGTATTCAGTGGTTTAAAATGACAGCAGTGACGTGTTACCTTCCATGCTTTTTCCTGTGGGTCAGGAATTTGGGAACCGCCCAGCTGGACAGTTCTGGCTTGAACCTCCCATGCAGTTGCAGGTGGTGGCTGGTGTCGGAGCCTCGAGGAGCCGGCTTGGAGCCACCTGCTGTATCTCCCTCCATGGCCACCCCAGACGTTTCCATATGACTGGTTTGGGCTTCCCCAAAACGTGGCAGCCTCAGACTTCCTACACGCAGCTCAGAGCTCCCAAGACAAGTGTCCCAAGAGAGAGCCAGATGGCAGCTGTGACACTTTTTCTGACCCCATCTTGGAAGTCACACATCATCATTTCTCTTGTACTCTGTTAGTTAGAGGCAAGTCACGACAACCAGCTCATTTACAAGGATACAAATTACACTCCACCGCTTGACAAGAGAAATGTCAAAGAACTTGTAGACATGTTTCAAAAACACCACACGGATGCCCAGCTTACCCCTTCCTTCTACACTTGAGACCCCCGAGGTTGGAGAAACAAGAACCTTGCCCAAAGGCACCCATCCTGGCATCGGCAGAGCTGGAGCTCAGTCCAGCCACTGGAGCTCTGGCTAGCCTGTTGGGAAGTGATCTCACTTCACCTTCCGGTCCTCCTTCCACGTTCCAGCTGGGACTGCTGGCCTCTGGGAACCTTGTGTTTTAGCAGAGCCCTCACCAAGTATAGATAATGTGCAAACCACAGGAGACCCAGGGAGACTCAGTCTCCAAGCAGTAATATTGTTGGGCTATATTCTGCTTCTTTCCCAAGGCTCCGTAGAAGCACTCAATCCCGTGGATTGAAGAGCTTGTATCACCATCCCGAAAGCCCAACCCCAGCCCTCCATGAAGTGCTGACACTGCCTAGCCATAGGGGGAGACACAGTGGCAGAGTGGGCGAGGGTTTTTTTAAATGTGTACCCCCAATACTTGTTCACCAAAGTTAGATGACAAAACTTAGAATTTGTTGTGGCAGAGTTCAAAGAATCAATTCAACATCACTGGATGGGTTCGTAAGATTTTACATTTACAGTCAAACATTCTCAACAGATTTTGCTTAAGCCTGGGTAAAGTGCATCTGGGTATATGCTTTTGCCAGCATTATAAAATGGTTTCCTAGGACTTCATTGCTTGTCCTTCATTCAGAAATGCCTTGTTATGAGGTGGGGGATAGAGGAGAAAAAAGGGGAGAAAGGGAAGTAGACAGTTTTCAGTGAATCCTTACTGCCTGCCAGGCCTGATGCTATCTCATTTCTGTGCTTCCTGTCCCAATAGTACAGGCTCCCTCCTCCCCACACTCAGAGGATGATTGACCTTGGGCAAGTACTTAGCCTCTCAGTACCTCAGCTTCCTCCTGTGTAGGACAGAAGTAGTAATGCCTCCTACCACAGAGAGTTGCTGTCAGATTAAGTGAGATGCCTGTAAGATGCTTAGCAGTGTAGCAGGCAGTCAGGACTCCGTGATTGCCAGCTCTGATTATTCCCTACGAGCCCCTTTCCGGGCACACCTCCATTTTACAGAAGAGGCTTCTGTGGCCATTGAGGTGCGCAGCTCTAGGGACAGCAGCTGAGCGACGCCAGGCCCTCGCTGAGTCACCGTATCATGCAGGATTCCAGGTGTTCAGCCACACGCAGCTGGGTGAGCACGGGAACTCACGACCTGCAGGGCCCCGTGTCAGGGTCCCAGAGTAGGAGCGCCTGAAAAGGCAGGGTCAGGAATCCATTTAAGAGGCTCTATAAAAAGAAAAGTGACAGAGAACGTTCCAGGCAGAGCACGCTGTCTCATGAAGGCCCTGAAGTCCGGAAGAGCTAGTATGAGGAATTAAAGACCCGAATGGGCTGCGAAGAAGGTGGAAACGAGACAAAAAGCTCACAGAAGGCGGGGCCAGGTCAGTGTGGGATGTCAGGGGCTGGTGTAGAGAGCTTGGACTTGGCCAGATGTGAAAAGCTAGAGCATCCAAGGCCGGATGAAGCGGGGAACCACGGGACCCAGTGTCTGAGGCGCGTACCTTGCCCTGGCCCTCGTGGCGAGCGCAGACCTTGGGTCGAGGGCAAGCGGGGAGCAGCGAGGTGGTGAGGAGATGCCGCCGCTAGGGGCGCACGTGAGCAGTGATGGAGAGCGGGAGGTGGACCGGAGAGGGGGCCCGTTCAGGTTCAGTTCTGAAGTAGAAGCGACCGGGCCCGGTGACAGACCGGACCGGGAGTGAAGAAGGAGAAGACTCCGTTCCCCTGGGATGGCCCCAGGTTTCCAGCTTGAGCAGCCTCGACATCTGGTTCCGTCACTGACCTGGGGGTTGGCTGGGGGGAGCAGGCTTGTGATCCGACACGTGAAGTTGGAAATGCTGGTGAGACGTTCAAGGGAAGGGCGGAGTAGGCGTTTAGACTGCCCGTTCTAGAGCTCTGAAGAGAGAGCGGCCTGGGGAGCCATCCACACGGACTCTTAGGGGCAAGGGTGTGAGCCCCGGGGGCCTGGTGCTAGGGTGGGGGCCTCTCACGTGGAGGTCCCTGACAGAGAGGCGCCTGCACGGACCAGGTTAAGGAGTGGCCCTTGAGGCTGGAGGGAGGCCCAGAGGGTGTGGGGTCTGCTGGGGGCCCCCGCGGAGAGTGGCCTGAGGAGAAGGGCGTCCATGGAGACCGCGTGTGAGTCAGCACCGCCCCTCTTCCCTCCCAAAGCAGGTCTCTCCACCGCCTGCCCCCGGGCCGCGTGGTTTTGGGCCCCTGCGTGCAGAGGCCAAGGCCCTGCCCAGCTGCCTCCAAAGGATGCCTCCCTGGGGGCATCATGTGCTGCCCTGGTAGGAGGGTTCCTCTCTGGAGACTCCGCCCTGTTGTGTCCCTCCAGGACTAGGTAGAGCTCGTGGCTGGTCCCCGGCAGACCTCGGTGCGTTCCAGAACCACTGCCCTGCCCTTTCCTAGGTTCTGGGAATGCACTCAGTCTGGGGCCCTGGCCTTTTATTTTTTTTGCCTGCCTCAGTGCTTCTCTGGGTCTGGCTTCTCATCACAGAGAAAAGCCGCTTCCTCTGAATTTGAGGACTGCCAGCTCGGCAGGCCCTGGTATTTCCATCAGGTTTCCACAGCCCTTGCTTTCCCTCAGAGGAGCCTTAGAAAGCATGTTCTCCACCCCTGAGGAGGCCTGTCCCAGGGGACTAAGTCCCACTGTCTGCTCCGTGTCCACTGCAGAAGGGTCTGCTTTCTTATTTGTACGGTCTCTGCAAATACTTAATTTTTTAAAAAGAAAAAAAACAGGAAATGACCTTTCTGGTATATTTGGAAAACAATTTGGCGCTGTCATGGAATCTGCCTGAGCTATGAGGACTAATAGCGGCAGACTTGGAACAGACTGTGTAGCTCTTGGCAAAGGCTGGGGCCTCTTCAGTTTACAGAGCTGGGGGGAGAGTAACAACCAAAGGGAGAAGACGGCTTCCCGTGGGGAAACCAGACAGCACCAGGGCAAGCACCTGCGAGTGCGCAGCCTCTGGCCCCATGCCGCCAAGGGTCTGGGAAGGTGAGCCCAAAGCCTCTTCTTTTCAGGGCCAAAAGCTTTACCCCGAGGAAGGCCCCCAAACCTCCCAAAGATGGGGAGGAGCAGAAGAGCGTCAGGCTTGAGCACTGCTCAGGGCTCAAGCTGAGATAGAAGACGGTAGATCGCTTATTCCCAGATTGGCTGTTGACTCTGCCTAAATCACCCTCTGTCTGACTTTCCTGTGGACCTCAGTGCAGGATCACGTCCTTTAGGAGGCCTTCCCTGACCGTACAGTGTTGAACTGAACAACCCCCACGCAGAGAAACCTGTTCTCTTCCTCCACAACACTTACCACAGTCCCTGATGATAGATTTGTTTATTTGTTAATGCCCCTCTCTCTTTTATTAATTAAAGTATAGTTGAGTTACAGTGTTTCAGGTGTATAGCAGAGCAATTCAGTCATATATATATATATATCTTCAGTCTCATGTATATATATATGCACACACATATATATTCTTTTTCAGATTCTTTCCCATTATAGGATATTACAGGATACTGAATATAGTTCCTTGTCTAATATAGTAGGTCCTTGCTGGTTATCTATCATATGTATAGTATAGTATGTACCTGTTAATTCCAAATTTATTTCTCCCTCCCCTTCTCCTTTTGGAAACCCTAAATCCGTTTTCTATGTCTGTGAGTGTCTGTGAGTCTATTTCTGCCTTATAAATGAGTTTATTTGTACCATTAGTTTAGATTCACATATAAGTGATATCATATTGTATGTGTCTTTCTCTGCCTGACTTACGTCACTTAGTGTGATAATCTCTAGGTTCATCCATGTTGCTGCAAATGGCATTATTTCATTCTTTTTTATGACTGAGAAATATTCCATTATATATATATGTGTGTACATGTATACACACACACCACATCTTCATCTGTTGATGGACATGTAGGTTGCTTCCATGTCTTGCCTGTTGTAAATAGTGCTGCTCTGAACTTTAGGGTACTTGTATCTTTTCAAGTATCTTTTCAAGTTTCTCCAGATATGTGTCCAGGAGTCACATGGCAACTCCGTACTGTTCTCCAAGCTGTATCAATTTACATTCACACCAACAGAGTAGGAGGGTTCCCTTTTCTCCATACCCTCTCCA